TATCCTATGCAATTTGGGCCCTTATTTCTGTTGAGGCGCCATGCTGCCTCCTGTGCTCACTTTAATTGCCACCAGCCAACGCACGACGTGACGTATTGCACCCTTAAATAGGGATGAAATTTTCCCTTTAACCTGTAAAAAATAAAAGAACACCATTGGATAAATATTGTCTGATCATATCCGGAATTATCTCCTTCGAAGATGACCTTGAGCTTTCAAGCACAAAATAGTCAATAAGCGAATACTTAATAGTTGATCTCCCGGTTGAAACATCCCCTACCCCACCACTCCACAGTATCCCATTTTGCATCCACTATCCACCATCCCCTTCCAGCCACCCACCCACCCCTTTTTGCTCCTATACAATTATGGGCCCTTACATCTGTTGAAGTGTCATACCGCCTCCTGCGCCCTCTTCAATTACCACCACCGGATGCAGACCGTGATGTATTGCGTCCTAAAAAGGGGATGAAAGTCTCCCCCTCTCACCCCCTTCACCCATGGAGATGAACAAACCAGTGGATGAGCGCTGTCTGATCGTCATCGGAAAAATCTCCTTGGATAATGACCTTGTGCTTGCAAGTAGAAGAAGTCAATAATATCAGACAGTTATTTCAGTGAATAATTGATTGTCGCACCAATCTATGAACGATAAATGGCATAATTTCTTGCAGAGGTTGTAACAACCCCTTCAAGACCATCTCCTTTAGTGGAAACAGAGTTTCCATGAGAGTAACTGAACCTCTTAAATATATGATCGTGACATCAGGATGCTCCTTGGGGCATCTGAAGAGAGGGGCCCGGCGTTCACCGGCACTCACCGGTCAGCCGTTAAATATTTTATCAGAATTCGATTGGTTTAAGTAAGGCACTATCCCCCCACCGACCCACCCCCTGAAGACGACAGAAAAAAAATACTGCTGGAGGATGGACGTTGTTAGTTCGGAGTAAGGGCGGAATTCCCTGGAGCCGGAGTTGTCCTAGACGACGGAGTGATGGCCAACTGGGCAGCTGTCCCAGTCACAGAGGAGTTTTCTTCTTTCAGAAGGAGAAAAAAAAAAGGACGGGGAAGAATGGAAAATAAAAAAGTGAACCCTCGACACGACATGAGTCCGCTTTAAAATCTTTCGTTCCTCTCTTTCCTTCTGCCGAAACGACCAGATCAGTGTCCCCCGTCCAAAATAAAGGGAAGGACATCGCTGGACTATTCACTTTCGAAAATCAAGCCAATCATGAGTATCGTTAAGGGATGATTTCATCCCTCCATTCGTTTGGGTCAAGTGTGTCCACTTCTTGCCTCGTTAAATCCCGGGGACAAAAAAATATTGTCCGCCAACACTTGAAGCACATATTCTTCAACTTTTAATTTTAATCCCGAGTTTCATCCCCTCGGTTGACATCCGGGGTGGGAAGGGAGATGGATGATGGTCTTCTGCATCACTATCGCTTCTGGTCAAAATCATCGATGAACCTTGGACTCCAGACACGCAGCGACGAATCACCGAAGGATCACCAAAGCATCCAATTTTAATCTGAATCATCACCCCCTAGCAAGTCCAAGGGGATGAAATGTTTTTCTCTGCCTTCAGGACCGCTCACTTACACCCCAACTGCCAGCTCGTACATCAGCCACGGAGTTCGCACCAGTGGTGCTGCTGGAGAGGAGGGATGAAGATGTGGAAAAGAAAGTGCGAAAAGGGAAAAGTGTCGCGCGTATATCCACGTGGTGCCAAAGGGGCTGCACTACGGGTTGAGGGTGCGACACATTATCCACGCTTCAGAGAGTCCTAAATTATCCGGCATCCAGTGTTCCTTAACCAAGTGACTTGTGCTGTTAATGTCCTTGGAAAAATCTCAAAGCCGATCAACAGCTTGACTATTGATTGAACCTAATCATGATGATTATAATTCCAATCGACTGGCATCCGATAGTCTATCTATCCCCGTGTTAGAAACTCCGTGACAAACTGGCGATCGGTGGATGTCCAATGGAGCAACCACTTCCGGCTGGTTTAGAATCATGAGGATTCTGACCACCGTCACGACGTTAACACCGATATTTCGAGAATGAAGGGAATAGATTTCGATGCTTCAGTCGATTGCTGTGAACGCTACAGAAATAGATTTGGATAGTCCCAGAGAATGGGGAATGGGGTAAGGGAAATCCTGGGCAAGCCTAACCGCTAAGAGCTGTGATCCGGTGGTGGTTTATCTAATTGGAATTGTCAGGAGAGGGGTCTGTGCTACTTTACGTGAAGGAGAAGAAGGTCTTGTAGATGATGCCGTAGAAGGGGTTGGAAGGTGGTGGAACTTTCGTGGGGGGCTATCTCTTGGTGCACACCAGTACCGAGGAGGCTCTTTAGACTCCAGTGACGTGACGTTGCCTAATACTCTAATCCTACGATCCTTAGTGTTTAGGATGGGTGGGGGGGCATAAAGACTGTATAACCTTATCTTGGAACCTTTGGGCCATTATCTCTTGGTCAGGAGGAGCTTATGCTTAATTAATTTGTGGGATTCAATAATGCTTGGGTGGTTGTTTTGAGGAGCCATCTTGAGAACCGTCGATCCGGCTGATGTTTTCGATGTGTCATTTTAAAGCCATGAAAGATTGTGTACACCAACTCAATTTGACGTGATAATTACATCATTAACATCTCCTGTTCTTCATTATCATTATTCGGATCATGCTCTTCTTGTCTACAAGAGCGTTGATTCAACAATTCATGGAGAATGCAAACCTATCTAAAGGTTATAATCTGACCATCTTCGTATCAAAGCCTTCGAGTCATTATCTCCTACTCATGAGCAGCTTATACGTCATTAATTTGAAGAACAGAATGGAAAGCGCTGGTCAGGTTATTTGGAGGGAATAGCTTGTGATCCTCTCGTCTTGTCCGAACAGCGTCTTAAAATTGTCAAGGAATTTCGCTTGTCCCAGAAGATTCCACCGCCACACGCTCCAAGGATTACACCCTAATTACTCCCCACGGATTTCTGGCACACTGTTTCAAGATGGATATATACCCTCAGAATCACCAGAAGCTTGGAGCAAGATCGATCCACTCCTCATTCCTCAAAGTTGAAAGAAACTCGTGGTCGGTAAATAAAAGTGATAATGTCTTGAGCCCACGGTTGCGATTTAACTTACGATTTTGGATGATCCGTATATACCTCGTGCCCATCCCTCCATTCTACTCTTCATCTGGTGAGTGCGAGTGAGACAAGTACTCAGGGTCTAAAACTCAAGATATTCCAGAGGGCTTTCTTGAAGGATACAGCAGCGAGGGTTGAACGAGGACAGATTATTTGAAGTAAGGGATGGGCAGGGGTTTAAGGTTTAAGGGGTGGAATATCCTCGGGGTTTTCGAATCTAGCAAGAGTTGAGTCTAAACCAAGCGCTGACGCTGATCCTTCGCCCAGTACCTTCAGACAACTAGCGAAATCTTCGATCTTAGTTCCATATAATTCCCACTGCATGGTCCTATCTTGCTGAAGGGGAGGATTCTTTTCTCATTCACTTCATCGAGAGTATCTAATTAATGGACCCATCGTTGGGCAACGGAACAGGGGAGACAAAAAAATACTCGTGAACGGGAATTGCGGGTGAAGGCTCATCAATTACAAAATCAGGATCCTTCCGCCAAATTCGATATTCCTATTCTAAGATTAAGAGGAATTAACAAAACTCGGAGTATCGCTGCCACTCTTAGCTGATAATAATATCGCGATGTCATTGACATTCGATTCTTTTCTATTATTCCGTGAGACCCCCGTAATCATTCTGTCATCTTTATCAACTGAAAATACCACTGGCTATCGAGCCCGCAGTTGCTCCATCCCCTTTCTCCATCCTTGTTAAATCCTAGAGGAAAAAAAAAAAGACCAATCGATACCCGGAGCAAATTGAAAATCAAGGTACCAGTGGGGGGTGGAGGGGGTTCACCAGAGAGGGAGGTGGGGTGAATGTTGTACAAAATCGGTACTCCAGGGAGAAAGAGGGAAATGTGGGGGGCCTGGTAATGGTGGTGGATGCATCCAGGGTAACCCAGGACCTCTGCCCGGTCGTCGACTACCTTTTCTTTCCTCCGGTTCCTCCAACCCCCTCTTTTCACTCGCAAGCGCACACTCACCGGGGTCCAAATAAAAAAAAAAATCCCGTAGGTGGGGAGAGAGAGGTAAAAGGTGGCCAATACATGCCCCCCTCCATCTATTCCAGCAATTTTACTAACAATCGGTGCCGCGCAACTCACCAAGTCCATCCCCCATACCACCCACAACCATTGCGCAGTACCCGCCCCTCCATTCACCACGTCATTCCCCAATAGCGCCTGTCACAACTACGCGCACTCGCGCCAACTACCCCACTACCTCACTCAAACAGCCCCCTTCTCCTCTCCTTCACCATCAAGCACCCCCACAACATCCTAACCATTTGCGTTTGTCCCGGGTTGCTCTGTCTCTCTTCATCCACCCCACCACTCCCCACCCTCCAACGTGAAAAGTTTTACCCCCCGAATGAATTCTCCCCTTCAACATAGCACACAGTAGCTCTCGAGCAATCCTTCGACACGCGCGTGCCTTTTTTTTTTCGCCCACCTTTGTGTACCGGTGAGTTCGGAAAATTTTTATTTTTCAACACGATTGAAAAGTTCAATGAGAGGTACTCACTCGCGAATACATACATGAGCGGATTTTTTAAAAGATCACTCGTGTCCAAATGAAATTTAAAGAACCCAAGTAGGCCGTTGTGACGAGATGGATGACCATGAAGACATTGTAGGGGCAAAAGGTGATGTCAACGTGCGAGTGGATGAAAGAAGTGAATTGAAGTTTTGAAAGAACAAAAAAAACACGTTAAATAGAAAAGCAAAAATTGGTCTTATTTCACCTGGGAATTTTTGTTGTTCCAGGGTGGAACTGACCAGCGTGCCGGGCGGCCAGAATGCAATGGCACATCTCAAAAAGCGGAAGCTCGAGGCCGAGTCAATACCAAAAACAATGCAACACACATCATCACTGAATGGTAAAAAACAACAGATGAGTAATTCTCAAGATATGGAATTATCGGATGCTGCCCTGAAGAGAAGAAGAAAAAGTGTGCGTGACGATGATATCAGTATGAGAAAACAATCGGAGAGTGACAAGACAATGTTGCCGCAGAAGAAACGTGTGTTTGCGTCGAGTAATTGTGGTAGTCCAGCGCGAAAAGCTTGTAAAAATTCGGAAGAACCGGAGGACGATGAGACACTGATCAGAGAGACTGAGGCAGCGTTGAAGAGCTTATCGGGAAGTTGGCCAGGACCAAGTGGTGGTTTGTACCAACGTGGTGGTTCCGATGACGATCGCTACGAGTCAAACTTTGAGAATCTCTTCGAGGAGAAGAAAGACACCCCAAAACTGTCACCATGCTCTGTATCAACATCATCAACAACGAGCAACGAGACAGGATGTTCATTGAAAGACGTGATAACCTTCCGCGGTCAGGACAGAAGATCGTTCCAGCAGGTGAGGCCTCAGCAGATGAAGGCGAAAAAGGATATCGATGGTATGAAAATGGAGGCAGATTGTCCTGTCCAGAATACTTTGAAAAGCAGAAGTCTGAAGGACAGAGTGGAACGATTGCCGAATGAGAAATACTCTCGCTACGATCCACCGGACTTCAACGAACTCGTTGACGATTCATCTAATGAACTGGAGATCGACATGTCTGATCCACTCGTGGAGAAGGACGACGAGCGAGACCAACGGTCAGATGACAAGACCAAAGACAGAACCATTAAAGGATTATCATCATCACCATCTGGTAGACACCTGTTCTCACCAACGTCAACGACATCGTACTCATCATCAGCCTTCAGACCACCGAATACAGATCACACAAAGCCAGTGTGTAGAACACCATCAGCATCAACATCAAGTCCACCAATTGGTCCTTATCCAGCATCAGCAACATTCGTAGGTTTTCCCACACCAGTGCCAGGACCAGTGATGCCAGTGCCACAACCGATGATACCGCCCTCCAGCGAAGAGAAGAATACCTCCGTATCCCTCCTACAGTTGAAATCACCGAAGGAGGATCACCATCAGAGCCAGGCTGCCACAAAATTATCACCAACGAAACAACCAACTGGATTACCACCACCTGCCAGTCCCGATATCAACACCTCCAAGCAATACACGATTCTACAGCCAGCTGGTCTTGGCTCCAGAGCAGCTAGTGCTATACAAGATATCACAAGGGAGGGAGTTGTTAGTGTCACTGCGGTCAGCAGCTCTAGTGGAAGTAATAGTTCCACCAGTAGTTACGCAAGTTCTAAAAATGGTAGCGATGGTATAAATGGATGTACAGCTAGTTGCGTTACCACGAATACAACAACAACGACAACAGCCGTTGGTGATATATCAACGACGTCTGGTGGTCAGGATGTTATGAAGATACAGGAGAGAAATTTCGATGGCAATCGTCCTGGCATATCCATGTCACCGTCCAGTATTGGCAGAGGTGATGATCCTTTTTCATTAATCAGAATTATTTTAATTGTCAGTGGGTGTTATCTCAGCAATTGGGTTTAAATAACGGTTACCGGTACTTATCACATTATTTTTCCTCATCACCTCTTCAAGCACTTCCAACTTCCTGACAGGTAGATAATTTCCAAGTATGAGAGGAATAGATAGTAACGTTGGACTTATCTGACAACACAACCATCCAAGAATTTCGCTAGCTATTCAGCTGTACTATCGCCACTCTTCTTCCTGCTTCCTCTGTCCCCTCTCCCTTTCGAAAAAAAAAAAGGTTTATTGACATCACATGTGAATGAAATGAGGGAGCAGCGAAGGGACAAAGACCCGCTTTCTCGTTCGTCCTGGACCTTTCCTGCGAATGCTTGTATAAAGTTAGAAAGGGGAGAAAAGCAGTTTGGAAAATCAATAATTACGAAAAGCCAGAGAAGGGGATGGAAGCGATGACTCAAATGGGCAAAATCAAGGCTCTCTTATCTCGTGGGGTCTTTACCAACCGGCGGGCCAATCTAGAACCCTTTCATTCAGTTTAATAAATACCGAGTAGGATAAATTCCAGAAAAATAAAGAGTACCAAGTTACTGATGCTTTCGTAGTTCTTTGGTGATGGAGCTCTCGGTGATTTTTTTGATCCTCTCCGTGGCATTTTATCACCTCGGATTAGCCCGTTTCGCGGCTAAATCGTATGATGAGGGGGTGGAGTGCATTCCGGGGGTATTAAAGGTAGATTTTGACGCGACATGAAATTCTGGGGTGATACCGCCGTCATACGTATAAGCCACAGCTGTCAGCGCATGGAAACGTGACTAGCATAGCAGAATGACTTTCTGTCCCTTGGTTTTCTTCACAGGGTGGAATGAGAGGGCCTTATTATTACTCGGAAAATTCACCCATCAGTACCTTCATTAGCCCCTTAACGTTAACGTTACTGTTGGTGTGTGGCTGGGGGTTGACAGGGTTTTTTTTTCGGTTGATTAGATGTGAGAGGAACGAATTACGAATCTCATTCGACGGTCAGAAAAATTTTTATTTTCTCTCTGGAAATTATGGGGGAATTTTTCTCCTTTTTTCATTCCAGGGAAATTTAAAAATTAAATATTTATGGTTTTTCATGAAAGGTTTAATCTCTCAGATTACGGTACATCCGAAGGCGTGAGCGTAACCAGGATTAACGTGCCGTCCTCTTTTTTTTTTTTCCCGCTACCAACAAAAATCTTTCGTGATGCAGTAAAAATAGAAATAAGAGAAAGCCTTGGATTTTTCTTACGTGATTGCGTGTACCGGACAACTCCATCTCTTTTACTCTCGTTTTACCACTTCCCTAAAAACCGAGCGTGTTGACACGCCATAAAATCTACTATCGGGAAATCCGTTGCGGCCTTTTGTGGCGAAACCTTTGTGTCAATGAAAAAAGGTAAATTGAGATATGAGGAAAATAATCAAGAGAGATCGACGCTCGGTTATTTTTTATAAATTAATTTAATGGATTTTTTGAGAGAAATTATATTTAAATGATTTTTTGAATTTTTGAATTTTTGAATTTTTGATTATTCTGCAATTTTTTATTATTACCCCTGAGAATTTTATTTCACAACCCCAACGACAAAATTTAAATAATCAAGAGAGATCGGTGATCGGTTATTTTTTATAAATTAATTTAATGCATTTTTTGGGAGAGAAATTATATTTAAATGATTTTTTGAATTTTTGATTGTTATGCAATTTTTTATTATTACCCCTGAGAATTTTATTTCACAACCCCAACGACAAAATTTAAATAATCAAGAGAGATCGGCGATCGGTTATTTTTTATAAATGAATTTCCTGGATTTTTTGAGACAGAAATGATATTTAAATCAATTTTTGAATTTTATATTATTACCCCTGAGAATTTTATTCCACAACCCCAACGAAAAAATCTTCTCGTAAGAGACAACTCCCCCTAAGATAAAAAAAAAAATAAATTATGAAAAAAAGGAATGGAAAATTGAGGAGCGATAATCCCGATAATAGAAGATGGATATTAACGTGATACGGTAATAAATTCACTGTTCACTCGTCCGTCGAATGAATAACACAATTCCACCCCCATTCCACCCCCTTCCACCCCACACCGGTGTTTACGTACACCTCTTGGTTTCCCATGGTTGACCCTCGCATAAAATGGCTACGAGGTAACACAATTACACACTCGGCCAAATCCACCCCCTCGTGTATTCTTCCCCTCTTTTTTTCTCTCCACCAAAAAGCGAAGGAAAAATAAAAATAAAACCGGTACTCAACAACTCAGTGCAACCCTCACTCCAATTTTTTTTTTTTTTCTATCGCTGTTTTTTCCAACCCTTTTCTCGGTTTTCAGGGGTTTATCTGCCTCTTCTTCTCACTTTTGGGGTAGATGGGGGAAAAAAGAAGGTCCAGCTCGTTACAAGTCTATTCAGACGTACGGGGGTGGAAAAAAAAAGGGGGGGAATACGGCGCGTGCCGGTATTCATTTTGTTGACCGGAACCATTACCCTCGCTGGAGAGGGTTGGAGTTGATCCTCCGGGTTTTTAGATTTCTTTTTTTTTTTGTCGACCTTACGGCTAATTTATTAATTCCGCACCTCTGCCTGCACCGGAAAGAGAGGATTCGGTTTTGTTGGGGGTTTTTTTTTTTCGGGGGGTGAGGGACTTCCTTCGACCCCTGGAAAAAATCGGGGCAGCAGGTCCGCGCCTTTTGGAAGATTTAGAATTTTTTTTTTCGCGAAATTACCGATCCCAATTCGGAACTTCAAAGAAATCATTATGCGAATTTTCTAGATAATTTTTTTCCTCTTCATTTAAAAAATTCCCCATGTCTTTAAAAATCCAAAAAATACTAGATCACGGGATTAATCGACTCACAGGATTTTCCAAAAATTTCACCCCTCCGCTGTTAGGAAAAATTGTCAGCGTAATTAAAATCTGTTGCGGGTCTAATTAAAATTTGAAAAAAGTAATTACAAAACTGCAGATGAAATTACTTAAATCAACTAAAACCTGCTAACGACGTCACGTATCGTAATCCAATTTGCCGCAAGGGGTGAGGACGGGGGGTGGTTGAGGGTTAGAGGGGGTTGGCAGGGGGTTGATTGGTAAGGGATATGGATACAGAAGCGAAAGAGGCTGCAACTAAGCAGGGATCCGATCTCTCCAACGCAAAATGACAGTCTGATGAAGTTTTGCCGTCATGGAGCGGTCGTTTCTAACGTTCAGCTCAATAAGGGATGGGGTGAATGGGGGATGGGGATCGGTGGATAAGGCCTTGTGGGATTACCGCACGACCAAGTTTATAAAAGTGTACTTTCCAACGAAAAAAAAATCCCACGCAAAAAAAAAATTTATATATTCCCCACTTTCTGTCGTACCCCGGATAAAAAAATTGTAATCGGAATATTTTTTCCAAATTTCCAAAAAATTTCTAGAGCGTTAAAAAATTTTTTTTTTTGAAAAAAAAATCGGTAAAAAAATTTTTTGAAAATTTGTTTCGGAAATTTTTTTTTTGAATTTTTGTTTTTTGAAGTATAATTTTTTTTTTATAAAACTGTTGTTTTCTTATTCAATTTTTCTATTTTTAATTTAATCTTGATTTCTCGTTTATTTATTCACAGAATAAAATTATAAATTGACGCAATTATTTATTCAACCGCAACCGAATTTCAAAATATTTCTTTTTCAATTTACACGATTGATTTACCGTGAGAAAAAAAAAGTGTAAAGGGTCGGTAGTAGTGACATGTAATCGCTCACGAGAAATACGTACTTGCGGTCAGTACCATTTTTTTTTCCCCTCCATTCCCCGATATTTTGTAATCAATACTCACTTGCTATTCGGATTGTTCCCCTGACGTTCTCCAATGCTGTTCCTATTATGTTAACTCCCACGACAGCTTCTCAACCTGCCAAAGACATTGACACCACGAGAATAGGAATAAAAAGATATTCTTTTCCACGGGCAAAATATCGCTCTGTGGGTGGGAAAAAAAAAATGTGGCATCCCTGCAATTTTTTTAAAATAATTTTTATACATTAACAATTCATGGGCAGTTGTTATCGACCGACTGCAAAAACTCACGCAGGGAATAAATATATTTTTCAGATATATTTCAAAATATTTTTCATTACGATTAAAAAAAAAAGACAAATTACGCTCTGTGCAAGAATAATAATTATTTACAACAATTCCTCTTCAATTTTCCTTCAACTAAAATAAAATACTGCAATTAATTCAGTAAATGGAATTTTTAATTCAATTATTCATTTATAATTTGGATTAAAAATTATAAATAATGGATAAATTTTATTAACAAATACTGTAACATCTTGACCGGTGATTTTCAAATATTGATGAAAAATCTGTTCATTCATAAATAAATCGTAATCCATAAATTACGAATGAATGAAAAATTGAAACCCTCACTGCTTTGTGTTCCAGAGGGCAACAAGTGCCCAACCCCGGGTTGCACTGGTCAAGGTCACGTAACTGGACTGTACTCGCACCATCGCAGGTGAGGCACCAATTATCGGTAATTAACAGACCGCTTTCAACGCTCAAATCCGTACCCCATAACACGCCAGAGGGTTCAAATCGTTTCCACTTGCACATCGATGAAATTACCCTAGCTCAACCGCGAGTTCATCCATCACCCGGAAATTTTATTGTATCCTTTATATTTTTTCAGCCTCTCCGGATGTCCCAGAAAGGATAAACTCACACCTGAGAGTGAGTAATATTTTATTTTTTCAATTGTGTAATTTTTTGCATCAATTTGATTTTCTTTTTCACGAGTATTACACCTTGCGCTTTTAGTCAAGTGTTCAATAGTTGAGAATTTAAATAATAATAATAATAATGTACAGATAGATTACTGCTGGTTATTCTCAGAGCTAGTTATCAACAATTACTGAAATAATCTGGAGCATTTGCCTTTCCTCAACTACTGAATTATTGAGAAACAAAAAAAAACATGAAAAATTGCACCGCGTGGGAGTGTATGTGCGTTAGTATGTTCATAATTCATTTATCATTATTTCCGAATTAAAAATTTAATGTGTATTGTCTGTCTGTTTGGAGAACTCATTAATTTCTGCTTTAATTTTTCATATATTTTTTTTTCTGCGGGGTAGAGAGCTTTATTATTTTTTAGTTCACTTCACCTCATCAATAATAGAGCAAAATGAAATATTTCATTTGAACAATTTTCAGTACCAGGTACAGAAGAAAAAATTATTATCGCATATTTTCCGTTATTTTCAGTAGCTAATTAATGAACTAGGTTCACACAATTGAAATTCAATTTTTTTTTTTCTCATGAGCTTCGAGATCCCGAGACGAATTACCGAGACTGCATGTGCCCATACGCCAGAATCAATGAGATAAAGATAAATAAGATAAAGATAAATAAACAAATAGGATAATTTTTTTTACCGACGGTTTTTTTTTCGGGGCAATTCAATTAGAATAATAATTACTCGTACGGTGGGGAATCGAGAGAGAAGAAATCGCGGTGAAAAAATTATATTAAAAACAAATTGAAGGCGCAATTAGTAACTCTTTGCTGTCCAATTAGTGACGTCGCCGCAGTAGCCGTCGCAAGCCGAGAAAATCCGCAAGAGAAAATACAAATTTTCTCCTCATTTTTATTTTTTTCTTATAACAATCTAATTCAATTAAATAAAAAAGTATGATAAATTAATCAACTTTTCACGTACCTCCTCCGGATTATTTTCTCCTTACTCATTGGTGAAACACTCTCTACCCGCTGGATATATTATTCTTACTGTTATTTACACATTTATGTTTATTTTTTCCGTGAACGTCTGTCTAAGTCTGATTAAACTGTTTTATTTACCTCTCATTAATTTTCTTCTCGTATTTATCTGTGAAAAATCATTTCTGTTTCACTTGTACCTCCCGCGCGTGGTGATACAATAAAATGAATACGATTTGATATAAAAATCATGAAAAATGGATTCTGGTGAATTAGCAATAACAATAATAGCCTCTCGGTAATTGCCTGGGTTCTCGACAGTTCTGGCGCTGCATGAGACAATACTGAAGTGTCCAACACCGGGTTGTAATGGTCGTGGGCACGTAAGCTCCAATCGGAATACCCATAGAAGCTTGTCAGGTTGTCCCGTTGCTGCAGCCAATAAGCAAGCAGCACGTGAGGCCCGTCACAGGGCCCAAGGTAACGCTCAAATCCCACAAAAATCATTTAGGTTCACCTTAAATTTGAATTTCCCGCCAATGGATAGCGCGCGACACTTCCGTTTCCAAATATGACCAATGACCTCGCATTGATCCCCGCGGTCTTTCCACGATATTCCCAAATCTATCCATTGGTCCCTCTTCCCCCTCCCCCGCCGCGAATCTCACGATTGTTCTCATTCTCCAGTGTCGGGGATTCCCCCAGAGTTCATAAGCACGAACCTACTCCCAGGTTCTATGGACATCAAAGGCTATTCGATCTACTCGTCACAAGCCACCGAATCAAAACCAGTTGTCACATCACCGACGTACGATTACTACAAGACACCGGGTCTCCACGTGAAGCCACCGAAGACCCCGGAGGACCAGAATCCCCGTAGTTCATCAAAAATAACTCCAAAAACGGAGGTATCACCACCGACGACCTGTTGCAGCGCACTACCACCGAGAAATTCCGAGCTACTAGTCCCAAAGACCGAGGATACATCATCCTGTCGTGTGAATTCACCACCACCACCACCACCACCCCGACAGACATACGACTCATACATGAATCAGGACTCGAATTCCTCGTCAATGTCATCCTTGGACATGGGTTCAAGATCGATTGGCACAATTCACCATCCAACCCAGCATCCGAGCCACCACGTGTTACCGATGCAGCCAACAGTAACGTATCCCATGACGATGGTGGAGGACACGAGAATGACGCACCAGATGTCACAGCGATCACCTTACGAGCCATCGATGATGGCAGCTGTGGCAACAACGAGCGAGGATATCTATCATCACAGAAGTGCTGAGCACCGTGCCTACATGCATCAGACAAGCAACGGAATAGCTAGACCAGTTGTGACGTATTCCAACGATGTTGGCGCTGCTCGCGGCTACGACAATGTCTCGAGTGTAGCTAATCATCGACCCTACGATCCAGGTACCGGTTCTGGCTACGATAGATATGACAGCCAGAGCTGTGGACCCTTTCAGAGTCAACAGGCACAGCAGCAACAGCAGCAGCTCCACACAAGAGCTAACATGTATTACCTTGGACAGACTGGAATGACAGCTGACGAGCAGGAGAGAGTGTACCAACAAGAAGCTGCGGCTGTACAGCAACACCAGATGGCTATGGCAGCAGCTACCGGTGTAATGATCAAGTCCGAGGATGTCAAGTGCGTTCAGATGCCCAAGGGTGGACCACCCACATCACCCGGTGGTTCTGTCATGGATTTGTCGACGTCAAGCGTCACATCGACGAGTCCACAAGCACCACCATATGGATCCAACAGTCTCAGCCCCCAGTACGGTGGTGGTCAAACTGTTGGTGGAAGTCCTCAAGCTGCTGCTAGTCCTCATCTAACTGCAAGTCCACAGGTGCCGAGTCCACAGGGACAAACTCTGGATCTCAGTGTCAACAGGCTTCACAGGTGAGTGACTCTGTTCATTGATTATTCACTTGTACCCATAATGATAATCGATTTACCTGTTCAGCGGTGCACCAAGTCCCCAGTATCCAACATCCCATGGCGATGCTGTACCTGTAGCTGTTGGTCCACCCTTTCCAGCTCCTCGACCAATCGAGGAGCAGACAGAACCCGTTGACTTCTCAACTGCCAACGAACCCGTCAATTTCAGCGGTGGTCCTGGTATCAGGCCCGTCGGCTTTCCACCACCAGGTGTTCACGCGGCTGCTTACAGCCGAGAGAGCACACCCGACAGCGGTGTCTCGCATTACATGGACGCGTACAGAGATCCAACTGGTGAGTCAAGATTATTCTTGGAGTTCTATCTTAATTGTTGCATGTAATTAACTTCATTAATCGGAAGGCACGTCTACCGACGGCAAAAATATCCATCCTTCAAGGCATTTATCTAATTGATTCAAAATGGTGGATTAATTCAATTGTTCAGAACAATTCTCCACTTGCATCATACGTAGCGGTTACCGATCTCATCAACTCCAAGTTATTTTCGAAATAATTATTCATTAGATAAAGGAACGCGATCTTGAATTGACATCTCCCTGAATGGACCCACAAAATAATTCCAATAATAATCAACCCATTAATAATCACCACCCCCCATCCCCCCGAGGATCTCTCAAACTAATGAGCGGTGCAGCGTTATGAATCGCCTGATGAAAACCGGAAATCCCCCATCCCCAGGGATAACTCGAAAAAACTCATAAGTAGAAAATCGAAATGAAAAAGTGATACAGAGTCGTGCCCCGGGGGCACTGGAGGTGAAAAAAATTTTCAACGAATGGAAACAGAACAGAACAAAGAGGGGGAGATCTGGATTAAAAAAAATAATAATAAAAAAAAAAAAACCTAACGCATGAAGTCTCCCTGGGGCCTGACCGGGCGGCCAGTTACAAGCGTCGAATAAAAATTCGGCTGAACGGTACACGGTCCTTGGTAATAGAGTAACCACCCTCTCTCACCTCAAAACTCACCCTCTATCAAGCCCCATACCACCCCTCATCCCCAAAACCAGACTCATTTCGTTGGCTCTCGCCAAATACACATCCGCCACATTGAGACCATCAAACTCATACCTCTACCACAACCACTTTTCATCCACGTACTAACGTATTCATGTGCACATGCATTCCAAAAGCACCGGAATATAATATATAACGTTAACATTTCCCCAGGACTGGATCCATTGTTAATTATCAATATTTCGTAGCTCGAGTACAAGCCATGGAAAAGTAGCCGTCGTACGTCCAACTCGTTTCATCTCTCTCATTCACTCGAGTACTCGGTATACATCTATCCTTGCTTTTAGCAATACATTGTACCAAAATTCAACTGTCTCACTCGCCTTTTACTCGTGACTGGACGTACGCCGGGGGAGTAGTTATTGAAATTGAAACATTTCGACGTACAACGGGGAAACGTCGACGCCATTGCTACCAACGTTTCAACTCATACCATTCTATTCCTGTATTCAATGAGCCAACATGATACTTGGTTTTGAGAAAAATTTATTATCGAACAATGGGAATTTTTTTGGGAGTACATTTTTTGGGTGAATGTCAGAGTACAGATCACCCTTTGTTCTCCAAAAAGTAATCGATTATAATTTATAATTCCCTGCCATTTTTACATATTATTTTTCTATCGAGAGATCTCCGGGGCTAAAGGGGATACCCGGTATACTCCGCCATTTTGTGGATGGCCTTTGTACTACCCAAAATGGCGGAAAAATAAGATAACCTTTCATTTAACTTGAAAAATTACCGAAATTGTTGAGATCTCACTCATTGAAGACGGAATTAACAGATATAATTGTTGCAATTGAAAAAATTATTATTTAATTTAATGAAGAAGTGTTTTCTGTTGCTGTATCAGCGTATGGGCCGATGAGTCCACATCCTGGCTACGGCATGACGGGTGTCCAACCGGAATACCCCGGCAACACCTACACCCCGTACCCAACAGCTGGCTACAACTGCACTGGTAGCTATCCAGGTGGACCAGTAACATCAAGCTATCAAATTCCCACTGGCTACAGCCCAGCGCCTTGCTACAGCATGCCACCACCGCAGCACACGATCAGCGGTCTCGACAAGTCATCAGGAAAAGACGACAGGTGAGTCTAACTTCCACTTCATCTCAATGTACCTTGAAAATTTATTCAATAGTTGCAGCAGGACAGCAGAATATTAACCCATCAAATCCAGAATTCCTGAAATTTTTTGATGAAAAAAGAAATTTACAGAAATTGATTTCCTCAACAATCACTGATACCTGAAATCGAAATAGAAAATTGAGATTGAAATAAAAATTTTCAATCGATTCCATCAATTCTCACGAATTAACCTGCGGCAAAATCCTACAATCATCGTTGCCCTCACTCGTGCATCCAATTTTGTTAATTAAAGTAATTACTCTTCGTTGGCGAAAGTGCCAACCTTATTCTAATTGACGCAAAGCTCTATGGTATATAACGGTGGAATACCGGGTTTGAAGAAGAAGATGGGTTAGAGAGGGTGGTGGGATAAAGCTGTGAATGGTTCAGCTTGAGGAGTTTAGGGTATATAATCAGTTGCTACCGCAGTGGATTATGGAAAAGGGAATCGTATTAACTGTTGTGCTGAGGATAAATTGAATTAATGAGAACTTTATAATTTGGAGTGTTGAAAAAAAAACTTGCGCTGCATGTCTCATGTCTATATCTCACAAAGAGAATTCGAGATAATATATCTCAAGCATCTCAAGTGGCTAGGCTAGCTCAATTGGAAGAACAATTGAATGATCGAATAAATATAAATTGACAGGGGACATTGCTAAACGAAATTTAATTGTTTACAGAGAAAAGGAAAATGTTGAATTGATGGGGGACTGAAGTGTTGATGAATTTGTCCAAATCGTCAGCTCCAATTATCAATTGTAACTTGTAAATCATTTGAATCGTGGAAAAGTGTCGAGGCTAGAGCATAGAAAAGCCCCTTGTGAATTTCCGTAATTGTTTTCCGTGAAATACCTTTGGCATGAAAGGGAGTTTGCCAGCATACGCCTCCGGTGGTTTCCCCTTCTACCATAAAGTCGATATAGAAACGATACTTCAACGTTATTAATGGCCCGAGCCAATATAAACCACCTAATATACCAGAGTTTTCGCGTAACCATATTACGGCTCTGTATTCCTCCTTTCGACATTTATTGGCACCCCTAACCTTCCCACTTCGTTAAATCCGATTTCTATGGTTCAAACCCACATCTCCAAATCGTTCATCATTTTTAACGGATGGGAATCCCCGACTTGAAACGATTAAGCAGTGTGAAGTTGTTTTATATCGAAACTTCGGATGCTTCGTTCTGATTGGTCGGTCGATCGCGTGAAGTTTGCCGATAAAAATAAGCGGTCTTTTCAAATTCTTCAATAGTCAATAAGCGTACTCAATTATTATCCAATAATTATTTATTTTCCATTCGTTACAATTGATTTTTTTTAATCCATTCGATTATTTAATCCATTACTCCAATTATGTATTGACTCATAATTTTTTTGATTCAGATTTTGGTGATCATTGAATTTCGATATATTTCGATTAATTTGTTTTGATAGAATACAACTTCATGTTGCTTATCAGAATTCGTAGACGGAGATAGGATAAAAAATGAATTCTGTCCACTTATGGAGTATATAGTCTCCAGAATGTTCCCAGACGATTTCTCCAGGACCCCCTAAGAGGCACATATATATGCGCGTGATTGCACTCAAGAAGAGGCTTCCTAGTGGATTCTCTCAAGGTGGGAGGGCAATATCGCGTGCCCACTCGAGGGTCATTGAGGGCTTCAGACGAGTCTCTATAACCTCTCCCTCATTCCTCTCCCATGGTCTCGCTAAAGTGGAGTCAAACTCTCCACAATCTAACCACGTATCTCATACTTTTTCGGGTAATTTGTACCATCTCTGGAGTTATGTACAATTTTTAGGTTAGAGTACAGTTTTGAGGTTATTAACGTTGAGAGATTTCTAGTCGCGGAACGAGAGAAATTTTTGCGGGAAAAAATGGCGGGATTAATAAATATCAAGGTTATGTTTATTCTTGTGGCGGCCCGATGTTTTTTGGAATTATTTTGAGGGACATCGGCGTTCAAACATTGCAATCTCAAATTAAGACCTCGGGATCTTTGAACGATGTTTATTCTTTTTTTATGTCTATTTCTGCAAAAGAGTTACGACTTTGTAATCTCGCGCCACTTCAGGCGGACCAATAAGGACAGGTGGCTCCATCATTTCGAGATTTTCGAGATAATCGATTGTGTCAGGCGTGTCCCTTTTAGAATATGAATGGAACAAATTCAATATATCGATATATTGATTTCACAAAATAGTTTAAAAAAATTTTTGTCAATTTGTGGCATAAATTAATCATGGACATATCGTACAAAAAAAAAACAATTATTACATGTTCGGTGTGCAGTATACGACGTCACTCTTTGAGTCTGTCACCTCGGTCATCAGTCCCCCGTGGCCGCGACGGCAAGGAGCTCATACAGTGCCCCACTTCCACCTGCGACGGCATGGGTCATATCTCGGGGAACTACGCTACCCACAGAAGGCAAGGCCAAATTAAAAAATCGTAAATTACCCCGGAAATGATTTTCTCCGCCGTCTGACCGTCTCGTTACCCGGAAAATAATTAATTATCTAATAAAATGGCACTCCAAAAAATTAATCCACATGATTTTGCCATTCAACCAACGATTTATTAATAATAAATTAATTTCATCTGGTATATAGTTAACAAATTGGCAATTGTTGATTATATATTATGTGAGAGAAAATTATCGAGGGGATTAATTAATAAATTATTAGTCACTCCCAATCATTAATTATACAGCAGATAAAATATTATTGATTATTAATAAATCATTAATTGATAAATTACGGAAGCATGTGGGGTTTTTATTTACTTGGAGAATTAATTATTTCCGTGATTACGGGGTGGTTTATCTAGTTGTAAACCTTTTATTATTGCAAAACTTGAATTTAGTCCTTCGCACGAATGTGGAAAGCCGTCAGTATTTTTTTTTTTCTTTTTTATTGAACCGCACGTGTTCATGGAGTCAATTTTTCTAGTTGTCATATTTATCTCGTATCTGTGTCCTCTTTCTATTCCCTGAAATGTCTAGTTCATGTGGAACGACGTATCTTTATCAATTGATCTGTTTATTGGAGCCCGACCCCTGGAAATCATGACATTTTCCAAAAAACTCATCAACAAAATCAATTTCCTGAATTGCTGCGCGGTTTTTCCAATTTTTTTTTTCCGCCAAATGCCTCTCGTGGGCAGCATTGTAGTGAGCTGTATGTCAATGACCACATGCCGGGGCGATTGTATCAATCGGTGAATATTTTGGCATTAAGTGGAGAAAGACAACGAAATTCGCCTGCAGGAAATTTGAATTTATATCATCCTGACGCGGGAAAATCGTATGCGCGGAGGGAAAAATTCAAAAAAAATTATAGGACAGAGAGCATTGAAATTTAATTTTTTAATCACCGGGCGAAATGAAATTTAATAAAAAGTGTTACTTGTTCTGTAAAAATTGAAGTATGAATTACCGACATGGATTTCATGGAATTATGAATTCTCAAATTTCATAAATCGGGAATTCCCAAACTCCGATAGCAAATAATATAACAAATCCATGAACAATTGGAGTTTCGATTCTTCAATTATCAAAAACCGAAATTCACCCAGGACTCTCAAAGCCGCGGAGAAAATTGATAATGAAAAAAAAAAAAATTGCAACGATTATTTTTCAGTCTCTCGGGCTGTCCGAGAGCGGATCGTTCCCAGATTCAGGCGCACTCACAGGAGCTGAAGTGCCCGACCCCAGGATGCGATGGCTCTGGACACGTTACAGGCAACTACAGCTCCCACAGAAGTCTCTCCGGTTGTCCAAGGGCGAACAAACCCAAGAGTAAACCAAGAGACGGACAGGACTCTGAACCGCTCAGGTATTCTTTGTAAATATCTCTGAAAAATAAATGATCATCAGGGGGTAGGTGATTGTGGCTTCGGAGAGCCAGGGAAATATCTAATTTTCCACCTTACATTTAAAAAATATCAATATTCATATCAACAATATTTATTCTTCCACTTTCTCACACTCTGACTTCCAAAAAAAAAAAAATTCTAAAAAGTAATTAACCACTGAAATAAACGGGATTGAGTAAAAAAAAAATGGAGAAATTTCCCTGGCAGTGAAAATTCTATCGAATCAACGGAATATTTAAATGCGTGATAAAATTCATAATCAGGGCGGGAAAAATCAATTTTTCAAATTCTCGGTTTTCGTTGATCGCGCATTTCAGAGGTGAATAATTAAATCGATCCAATTCCCATTTCATCCCTGTTTACGGTAGCACGCAACGTGTGTCTGATTCGACAGTCAAGCTAGTGTTATTCCACCACCTTTCAACCCCCTCAATTCAACAAGAAACCCTTTTGCATTGAAACCTCGAGAGATAGAATTTAACCCGAGTTAAATCCCAAACCACCCTCCATCCCTCAACGAGCAAAGACACTGACTAATATGTCGTTTCTCCTCGTTTCACGCTTCTTCCTTCACCCATCAACTGTCACGTGATGATGATGACGATTATTACCGTGAAACTACAGGTGTCCAATTCCTGGTTGTGATGGATCAGGACATGCCACTGGTAAATTCCTGTCTCACAGAAGGTAAATCAGTTTTATTATTTTTCTTAACCACTTGCGGATACTCGGGGTGGAAATTATTTCCTCCATACAACTCCATTTTTCATTTAAAAAAATACTATAAATTTATGAATATTATATAAATCAAAAAATACTAGAAAAATTGAAATCTGGAGAAAATTTTCCATAAAAAATTCGCATTTCAATGGGAATAATTACCGAAAGGAGTAATGGTATTTTATAATTTAAATAAATATTTATATTTGATTTCAGTGCGTCTGGGTGTCCGATAGCTAATCGAAATAAACTCCGAGTGCTAGAGTCCGGTGGTACAGTTGAACAGCACAAAGCAGCAGTGGCAGCGGCAACAGCTATGAAATTCGAGGGTGTAAATTGTCCCACCCCAGGATGCGACGGTATTGGTCACGTAAACGGCTCATTCTCAACCCACAGATCTCTCTCGGGCTGTCCAATGGCCGGCAACACCTTGAGAAAACCAAAATTCGAGGACATGACTAGCATGTACAGCAAAGGAATCACCGGTGAGGAATGAAAATGAAAAATTAACAATTAACCCTAAAGAAAAAAAAAAATCTGGGTCAAAATTACACGAAAAAAATCGATCTCGTTCAAATTTCATAGAGTATAACTATTTTTTTTTTATTCGAGTGCTATGCCAACATAAATGCTGTCCTTTCTCTCTCCACCGCAATGATGTGCTGTCATACCAATGGAAAATATTATTTTCTTCCAATTTTCCAATCAACAAGAAGTTCAAAAAATACATTTATTTATGTTCTTTATTCTTTCATTGTTCTACCGCGACAATGTTTTTCCCACTGTGTATTATTTTTTTTGTTTCTCTTTCTTTTCGATTTTCTTTCGTCCAATTTTCAGGAGCGTCGCAGCAGCAATAAAGAAATAGTGCAATTATGTAAAAGAGAAATAGTGAAGTAGTTGTGAAGAAAAGAGAAAAAAAACATTGATAAAGCATTTGAAAAAAGAAGAAGCTAAAAACAGAGAAAAAGAAAGACGAAAAAAGTGAAATTAATGTTAATTCTGATTTATTCTTGGGGATTGACGATAACAGGTCCTCCTTTCCTGTCGTTTCCTGTTGAGGAGCACATTTACTTTTGAAGGTAAGGGTCTGAAAGTTCAAATTCAACGAAAACATACATTTTTTTTTTTCTCATTTTTTTGTTCTTTCTGTGTGTTTTTTAATCGGTGTAAAATGGAAATATTTTTTTTTACCACACGAGTGTTATTAATTTTCGAGTGTTGTCGATAAAAATAACAACACTCGAAGCCACTGTTTCGTATTTCAATTTATCTGGTATGATGGCACCTCACGCTGATCCATATTTGACAGAAAAATATCACTTCCTTGAAAACATGAAAAAATGCTTATGAAAATTAAAAATAAGAAAATAATCCTCGAAGAAAATCCCTTCCCCCGACAGAAAAGATCAATTAAAATATTCCTTTCGCAGCGACTTGGCATACGTACACGTTATGATTTATTTGATACAGCGGAGAGTCCGTGAAGGTGAAAAAATAAAGTATATTTTTTTATTTTTAATCAAATCGTTAGTACACACGTGAACGAAATCGATTTACTTTGACCCAACTCGCTGTGGAAACTTACGTGTTCTTGTGTTGCAAAATCCCTCACTCCTGTTCCCCTTATTGCTAGCATTTCGTGTTACGCAACACGCCTCATTTTTTTTACCATTTTTTCTCTCTTCATTTTAATCCCTCGCACTCTTTAAGTACACAGCAGAGGTCTAAATTGCTTAGAGACTGATTTGTTATTGAAAATTCATATTTATTTCGCATCGGTGTGAAAAGTGCTGTTTTAGGGCCGAGGCCGTAAAGCGGATATTATCAAGCAGCGGATGACATTTTTTTAAACAAACGGAAATGTAGATTTTCAACTCCAGTGATTGATTTATTTTCTAAAATAACTACCAGAGAGGTGTCATTTATTGTTTATTTATTTGAATAATTTTTTCTAGCGGCTGTAAAGCTGCGTTTTACTGCAACGGTATTTAGAGTTCCGATCTGACGCGAATGATTGATGATTCGGACTGTATTTGATAGTATTTTTATCAGAAATGTGCGGGGCAAATTGTTTTTCATCACTAGGATTTAAAGTGGCACTTTATGGATAAGGGTGAAGTGAGTCCTAGTAGTGAGCAATATTTTCAATTTACGGTCTTGCTCGTAAAATCAGGTCATAGCTATTAGGAGAATAGATTTTTTGTATCTCATCTCGTTTTTTATTTGATGGCCGCTGGGCAAACTTTATGGCCTAGGAACTCGCTAAACTCGTGAAATATCTCTTGAACGGGTGGCAGAACAGATTTTTGGAGGGATTCTATAATCGGTTTTTATGGTCATTTAAATAATAGTAATCCCTGATCATGCGAGAATTTTATGGTCAAGGTTGTGACAATATATGAGGAAATTTGGCTCGTCCGAAAAACTAGATTTTACTACCGATGCTCATATTTTTCGATAACCACATACCAATTCTAATTAATTTTTTCGCCGGCACTAACCAAAAATGAGCGCCCATTTACATTAACTTAATCCTGGGATGAGAAGTGATTTTTATGGGATCGATCAGCGTCCGTAAAGTAGCACTTTTCGCACAGATGTCAAAAAATGAGAGTTAAACAAATAGCATTGGGTCATTCTACCCGGAGTATTGTTTAAAAAAAGGGGATTGTGTACTTTAGGAGTGGACACCGGTGGTCCGGCTCAGGGTGGTGCGTTGGGTGCGGGTCAGGGAAGCACAAGCGGTAACATTGTACCTGGTGGTCAGGGCGAGGATCTGTATACATTGGAAGCTGAAATCACTGAATTACAGAGAGAAAATGCGCGAGTTGAGTCGCAGGTAATGCGTCTGCGCTCAGAAGTTACAGCTATGGAGAATCATCTGAAGCAAGGGGACAAGGTAAGGATGCACCCACGTCCTGTGGATTACTCCGCCGGTAATAATAGATTCTTGTCTATCATCAATCGGACGGTTATCGGAATATTTTTTGGCAGTCTCTTGACCGATTGTCGATCGTTTCATCAATTTTTTTTTATCGATTGTAAATAATTCAGAAAATTTCTTGCATCACTGCACCAACTGCTGGTCGGGGGATTCCCCTGGTTCACTGATTGGTGGTCATCAAAAATCGGACAATTGTTGAATAGGGAAAAATTGATGAAACTTGTAGATATATTTAGTCATTCATTGCATTATGGAGTGAAAAGGAAGTTGGAAGCGATGAGGGTGCCATGAGAGAGTTAAGGAAATTTGATAATGATAATGAAAAAATTCTGAAGTCGATTGTTGAAAATGTAAATCACACCCAGGGATTTCCCTAGCTCTCTCCAAAATCAATAGAAACATCCCTCAGTTGGTAAACATCACTAGCGATTTTTTGAAGAATTTCAACAATTGGGGGTGGGAAATTAATGAAAAAATAATTTTTTTTGTGTCCAGGAAACAACGGTGATTGCCCAGCGAAACAATCATCTCACTGATTATTATCAATCACTTCGTGACAACATGATAACTTTTCTGGAGCACGTGAGAATACCTAGCGCCCCTGGCGGTCCACCTGAGAAAATGGGACATGAAAATTTCGACAGTTATCTGACAAAATTACAAACACTTTGTACCCCTGATGGATACTGCGCTGATGAAACAAATCGTCCAACATACGAGACTGTTAAAACTGCATTGCAGGACTTCACAGTTCTGCCAACGCCCATCTGAGACCATCAGTCACGTGGATAAAGTAGGAAAATCATTTAAATTTCAAGGGTATATTATTGATTAAATCCACATGACTGTGAGAATTCTTAGGGACCTAGAAAAATGTTGGAAGTTCATATTTTCGGGTATTTGCCAAAAAAAAAATGACAGCATCCGAAAAAAAAATCGGCTCTTTCCAATTATTTTTCCAAAAATCGACTGATCCCGATAAATATTGATTTTCTGATAAAATTTAATCAACTAGAAAAAAGTCCTCCAACTTTTTTATCTCAACTCGATAGTTATCGATATAAATCGATTTTTCAAAATTAGATTTAATTGAATTCCCAGCAATTTTCTATATCTCGACTCAATCCAGAAAAAAAAAACTTTCTCCAGTTCGGAAAGTTGAAAAAGTGATCAACAGTAAATAAACAACTGATGAAAAATCTCAAGACGACGATGCAATTGTAAATACTCAAGTGATTAAAAAATTCCCAGAAATCCTCAGTCCTGGGAATCCCTAATTTGTAAATAATCGGTCCAACACCAAAGAAAGGGGAAAAAAAAATCACGAATCGAGAGAAATTCTTGTCGTCAATTTCTCACGATCTAAATCTGTAAAAATTAAAAAAAAAATTTCTATTACGCTTAGTGATGTATATCCGCTCAATCCCCTCCCCTGTCCGCTTGATAATCGTTGATCTACCGATAAATATTCATCAGAAGAATAATCAACTAAAGTTATCATTTATTATTGAAAATATTTCGATATTGATCGAGAACCCAATAGCTATTGAAAAAAAAATTTTAAATATTAAAGATTAAAAACAAAAATCGAATAGAGAAAAATTAATCCTTCACTGTTAATTATAGTAATTATTTAAGCGCCTCCCACAATTAAATACTAAATGATAAAGTAATTAGAGTAAATTAATTTTTGTCCATAGTCTGTATATAAATTGAGTAATTTTAAATGATCTAATTAATATGTGGAAATATCAATTTTAATTGAAAGGGTGAGGATAATTTTAAGGTCATCATTTCCAGGTGATGACAAAAGTCGAATTTATTAATGCCAAAAAAAAAACATAAAATTAATAGAAATCTTTCTTTAGGTAACAATGGCTCAATAGAGAAAATGTTCAGTATTGATATTAATTAATGTGCAATTTATTAATTAGTGATGATTAATCAGTTGATTTATTATTTTTCAATTTTATCCTGTATTTTAGGGAGTTCAGGGAGTTTTAACATTTGTGATTCAACGATCTCTAGATTTTTCTCTTGTTTTTTTTAACAATTATTATATTGTTATTATTATTTGTGCGGAAGATATTGCATCAGTATACGATGTTTGTACATTTGTTTATTGTGGTATTTGAGGATGAATGAGGCACGTGTCGAGAAGGAAATGATGATAAAATCAGAGGAATAGTCTGTGCATCATTTCTGGTTTTATTCAATTATCGGGGAATTTAAATCCAATAGTTTGCGGAAAAAATGTCCTCTGTATGTGAAGAAAATCATCGCTTGAGTAATTGCCAGGGAATGGATAACGTGAAACGTTTAAATAATTTTTTTTCAGTCAATTATTCAATTAGAAAATGGCAGAATACGCGGAAAAGGTAATTATGATTATTTTTGAAGAAGTAATTTTTGTTTGTTTTATTTTCAATACATCCGAATTTTTTTTGATAAAAATACAGTGTGGGGCAAGAAAATTAATAAATATGAGGGACTCATTTTATTTGATGAAAAAATTATTCGACATGATGCGCAGACTAAATAATTATAAAAACAATACGCTATTGTCGTATGGTAAAGGAAAGACTGTAAACCGAAAAAATACTTGTTTTAATCTGTAAGATTCCACTGACTTGGATGTGCAAAAAAATGAAAAAAAAAGAAGAAAATAAAATTCAAGAAGAATATCTCCTGTAAATAACGACCGCTTGGAGCCCCACGAAAATATTCAACTGCAATAATGAACAAAACTGAAGACATTCCGAGGATAATAAATAATGTATACAACAAAATGTCACTAGTCGTAATGAGAAAACGAAATAAAAAAAAATTCGATGCATTTGAAAAATAGAAAATTAAACGGAAAATCTCAACAAATTATAAATTCATTCATTTACAATTCGTGTGTTCATTTCTAATCTAATAATTATCATGTCCAGAAGAAAAAGGTGAATAAAAATAGAATGACTCGTGTGAAAATAATACAAAACATTCGAAGTATTGAATAATTTTTACCACTAATTAGCAAGTGATAATGTAAATACAGTATTAGAGAGACTTAATTATTTCCATGGATGCGAAAATACTTGACAATTTTAAAACGAAAAACGGAAAAAATGAGATAAATTATTGACGAATCAATGAGATTTATGAGAAGAATTAATTAGTGAATAAATAATGTACTTTAATCAGCACCGTGTAGTGAGAAAATTGAATAGATCTAAAAGAAAGGAACAAATGAATTATTAATTGATACCTTAATGACAACTGATACGTCAATTTACATTTTTTTATTCTCTATTGTTATTATAACAGATTATTTTCAATATTTTGCTTCGAATTGCCTTTTTATCAATTCAAAAAAAAAAACAAGCGAATAGAGATCCACAATGCAAAATCATCACTTGAATTTTTTATTAATTCTTAGACACTGTTTCATGTTAATTTTCTCCATTAATTGATTGTTGCTATTTATATGGGAAGAAAACGAAATAAACTCGAAAAAAATGAAAGCAAAAATCTACGATATTTGTAAGTTTACGAATACTATGCTTTAAGTAAGAATAAATGTTACTCCGATCGAATAAAGGGTATTTATCGATGAAAAATGAATTTTTGGTTTATTTTTTATTATCGAAGACTATCAATAAAATATCAATATAACATGTGGCCGCCATTTTGTCGACCGCCTTTCAGAGAGTCAAAATGGCGGAGAAAATAATTTTTTTTTCAATGGCATTTCAATACCAAAAAGATATTTTTTTAAATTCATCGTTAAAATAGAACTATCATTATCGAAAATATTTGAAGTGCGTAGCTATTGTGACGCACGCGAGTTCGAGAGTAAATCATAAATTCGGTGACCTCCGACGTCTCGGAAGCAGCTGTTACACATCGAAAACCAGCGATCTGTCGCCGGTTAAAGATTAGATATCCGATAATGACTATTTTTCAGATACCGATACACAATTACATGGAAAAAAAGGAAAAAAAAACAAGGAGCCACTTGAGCACTTCATTCGATCATACGGTAAAACGTGAGTCCTTGCCAAGTGATTGTGAAAAACGTTTGGCTAATCTTCTTGTCAAGGATATGGAATTTTCTCGAATGTCAAAGGTGTATTTCAATTGGCTATTTATGCAACGGTGATTTGTTCAATCATCAGGCAAAAATTCATAAAGTCATTGTTGAATTATTTCTTCACTCGAGAATTTTAATATTCATTCATGATAATTGAGGCGTATTTTATGATCTATTTTATATTTTTCAATGCGTGACTTAAACATTTTTCTGCAAAGGCGATCGGAAGAGTAAAAATTGTGGAATTGTTTTTTTTACTTTCATTCCCTCTCCCTCTCCTGCAAGGTACTCTCAAGATGGCGGCGGTTGGACCGATCATATGACAGTTCCAGCTGAAAACTTTGAACATTAAAAAAAATTACATAACCTTCTCCCACTGCCTTCAAATCAAATCACATCTATTTCGCACAGTGAAGAATTTGTTTGCGACTATTTTTGGCTCGATAATTCATTCGAAACGGAGAATTCAGGGAATAAAAATTTTTCCCGCATTTCACTAGTTCCTTTTGTCCTTCGGCCCCGGTATTCTCGACTGAAGACTTCAATCCCCGAATTTCAAAGCCACAATTTTAGTACCAACTTATTATTATTTTATTACCAACCAACCGTCGTCATAATGAAACAAGAAGATTTACAAAAGTAAGAAAATAAAAATGAAGACAATAAAGAAGGAATACATGAAAAATTAAGATTAATACTCAATGAACAAACATTTTCATTTTTCTCCGGCAACGAATTCAGAAAACAGATTTTCATTATCTATCGATACACGTATCGGCAACTATCCAAACAAGCGAAACGTGAAGACAACTGGCTTTATTCAATTATTCTGAAATCCTTGATACTCGGTTATTCAAATTAATCCGAAAAATAAAATTTTTTAAGACGTAGATCATTGTTTGTACAAATGTCTCGAGTCACTGGCAAAAAAAACCTGACGCTATTCGGTATAAAAAGGGACCACGACTATTCCAGAAATATTCTACCATTGTTCATCGAACAAGGGAATACACGTTGAAAATAGGTATGGCTTTCAAAGTTCTGTGTCTTGGACTTCTTGTCTGCTCAGTCGTCCAGGCCGCACCTCAATACAATTTGTTGGTAAGAAATACAAAATATTATTTATTCCCATTTAAATATCAAAACATTTCAATACTTCTCATCTATAGAATATCCCCTATTTGTACAAGTCCAACAGCTTAATCTCGATTTCTCAATTTCAAAGATTCAAAGTCCAAATACGTCCTTTATTTATACTTTCAATTTTTACGAACAGTTCCTTAAATTTATTTCAATGAACTGTTGGTAAAAATGGAGATGTAGCAATTATTTGGAAGATGTATTAACAAATTTTTAATCTACGTAATCGATTGCATTTATAGGGCGGCTTAAATCCTAACAGTTTTGCGGAAAGGATAGCAAATAGTTTTCAGGCTGTTCGCGATGAGAATACAGGTTTTATTAGGAACGTCATTAATAAAGCTGGTGCAGCTGCTCAAGCGGCGATTGATAGTGGAAACTCATCTGTTAGGTTAATTACAGGCATTATTAGATCACCAATCGACTACGCAAACAAGGTAGACGAAGCTAATGGTGGCCTCACCAACTTGAACGACTTAAACAGGTGAATTGAAAATGATAAATAATTATCTGAAAATATTTGCCAATTCAATTACAAATGAAGCAATTGCCTCATTAATTAGGCCTTTGAAAATCCATGCACATTTTGTCTGACGTTTCTGGCATTGAAAGAATCAGTGGAAGAAATCACTTCAAAGTTGGTTTAGACATTTGTTTCCACTGAATGTTCCAGCAAATGGTGGGCCCCTTTCAAGGAAACCATCAATGAGAATGGCAAACGTCTCGAGGACAAAATAGATAAAACGAGGACCTTTGCTCAGACGACTGGCCAGGCTATTGGGGCCGGCTTAATTACAAAGGGAAAAATTCTGACAAGTCCATTCCGAATTGCAGCGAAGAGTACTACAAATCATCCACGACTTGCCGGCAACGGCCAACAGGGCAACAGCCCACAGGGCAACGGTCAACAGGGCTACCTCCAACCCGGCTATGGCCAACAGGGCTACTTTCCACCCGCCTACGGCCAACAGGGCTACTTCCCACCCGGCTACGGCCAACAGGGCTACTTCCCACCCGGCTACGGCCAACAGGGTTACTTCCTACCCGGCTATGGCCAACAGGGCAACGGTCAACTAGGTAACGGCCGACAGGGCAACGGCCTACAGGGCTACGGCCAACAGGGCTACGGTCAACAGAGCTACTTCCCACCCGGCTACGGCCAACAGAGCTACTTCCCACAGGGCAACGGCCCACAGGTCAACGTCCC